AGGTGCTCTCCGAACGGACCTCATATCTCACCTCTTACGTGTAGTCGTCGTTATCGCTATGGCTGTCGACTCACACGCCCTTATTGAGCGCGGCTGGGGTCCTGAGACTCCGGCCAACTACACGAAGAAAGATGTTATTCTATACGCGCTGGGTGTGGGAGCATCTGAGCTCCGATATGTTTACGAGAACAACGATGAGTTCTCCTGCCTGCCTTCCATGCCTTTCGGTGAGCGCTGGTTCCTGTTTCTTGGTACATGGTCTCCTCTCAGCTCTCACTTTCAAGGGAGGTAACTCCGCCGACGTGCTTCCATTTCCGCCCCAGCACTTCATGGGTGCCATGGACCAAATCCCACCTCGAGGTGAGTTTACAGCCGATGCTTCGAATGCTGTACCGCATCAAAGGACCGGTCTTGGACGGCGAAAGATCGATGAAGTTATTCAAGTCATTGCCAACTTCGGCCGAGAATTGGGCGATGAGGAGCAGGGTCACAGCAATCTCACAGAAACGCTCGGGAGTGAGTTTACAGCATTGCAGTTCGTAAATCTTCCGATATTCTGACGTAGGCTGTCGTTGAATCTGAGACTGTCATCACCGATAAAAGTACTGGGGAGAAGTAACCTCTTAGCTCTTCCCGAGTTCTCTCGCTGAATCTCTGCCTTTCAGATGTGTTCTCCTGAGAAATTCGATTTTCTATGTTGGAGTTACTGACTTGAAGTCAGCTGGAGAACCATTCAAGGTTATCGTCGACGTCCCGCAGCGTCCGCCAGATAGGGAGGTCTCGGAGATGATAAGTGGGTTTTCTTCGTTCGTCTACGTGATCAAGTATGCGTTGATAATATCAACTTGATATCTCTCAGCATTGGAACGAGTCCAAACGTACCGTTTGAGTGGTGACTACAACCCACTGCACATTGATGACGATGTCGCTAAGGCGAGTCAAGCCCTTGTCTCCGGTTCTTGAGATATTTTCCAGGTCTTTGGATTCCCTCGTGCTATAGTGCATGGTTTGTGCACGTTGGGACATTCAGTTCGTCATGTTATCAAAGAGTTCAGTGACAGTGGTCCTGGTGCAGTTCGCGGTAAGCTCTGCGCTGAGCGGACAGGTTGTGGACCTTCCTTCCAAGGAATTCGATGCCGTTTCTCTAAGCCTCTCCTCATTGGAGAGCGAGTTACCACGAGAATGTGGCGAGTCGACGCCACAAAAATCCTGTTCAGGACATGCAAATATTTGGTAAGATTTCTATCCAATGTAGTGGCGTGATCATTCGTTCAGGATGGTCAAGAAATTATT